GAGAGAGAGAGAGAGAGAGAGAGAGAGAGAGAGAGAGAGAGAGAGAGAGAGAGAGAGAGAGAGAGAGGCAGAGCGAGTGTAGTCAAAGAGAGAGACAGAGAGGGGAGAAGCCATAGCCGCTATCTGGTTGAGACCCGTTGCGTGTGTGTGCGCCAAAGCCGCTGGAGACTACATTCTTGTATATTGATAATAATATTGGAGACTACATCTTCAAGTGTTGATTGCATCTCCATTTGGCTTCTCACGTGTGAACTCTCATGTGAAGATTCATTGATGTATGCAAAGTTGAACTTGACGAGTACTTGTGCTCATTTCAGATGTATCAGAGCTGGTTCCCGCTGCATCTGCTGGGAGTTAAGACGGCAAGGAAAAAGGCCGGTGGGCCAAAAAAATAAAAAAAGATTAGGTTTGACAGCACGTTGAGGGCCGAACAAGAAGGGGCATAGCAATGAGCAAGGGCAGCATGTACCTGCGATAGAGGAGATTCATCAAGGAAACGTTAAGGAGTGCAGTGCTTCTTTGCCCGCCCTGACATTTATGCAATTTGAATTTTGTTGTGAATGGTACCTTCCCATGTATTTTCCTCATGACCTCTGCTGCAAATAGATTTCTGTTGATGTCATCCTGTCATTCGAGTCAATAGTCGCACTTGGTCTTCCTGTTGCTTGGTGAGTCAGAGACCGATTTCTCCTGGAGGAAAGGCTCCTCCCCCTTCTGGGGGAAGTGGTTAGGGTTGCCGGCCTACCTGCGGGCATACGCACCTAGTGGGACCTTAATCCCGTGAGAGTGAAAGTTTCGTGTGTGTAGCAACTCGGCAGCTGGATGTATTCCCGGACCTAGTAGGGAGGATGGGCAATGAGCGGCGGGCGCTCATACAACAACCCGGCTATGCCCAATGACCGGTATTGACAGGCGTGCGGGCGAAGACTCTATGGGACGCAGTGAGGAGTTTTAGAGGCCAGTAGAGTTTGCCAGCTGTATAATGCACGGGCAAAGTAGGGGTGAGACGTAAGGTCCACCAAAGGACCGGTACTGGCCAGATGGCTAGTCGCTGGCGGTGGTTATACCTAAAAACCGTTGCAATCAGTGAGGAACCAGTTCAAGTCTTGAGAGTGATCCTTCGTATAGGTGGGCACGACATCCTGTTCGCGTCGTTAAATAATTCCTGAGGTCTGTGCTGGCTGACCAAATTGTCCGTTGCCCACCAAATGTTAGGAGAGCTGTAGTGACAGAAGTGGGGAGGGAGTTAGTTGTCAGACCCTGATTTTGGTTAGCATTGGTACAAGTATTGAGGACAGTTGAGTGTCGAGGAATAGGTGCAAGTGGTGAGGAGGCGGAGTCAACTTACTTGTGCTCACCCTCGCCATGGATGATTACCCGATGTTTGGCTTCTTGGCCTTGTCCGCTATATCGGCCCCCCTCCTCCTTTCCACTGGGATTCGCCCGGACCTTTGGCACGCATGTGGTGAGTCCGTTGTGCTCACCCTCGCCATGGATGATTACCCGATGTTTGGCTTCTTGGCCTTGTCCGCTATATGGGTCCCCCTCCTCCTTTCCACTGAAATTCGCCCGGACCTTTGGCACGCATGTGGTGAGTCCGACCGGAGCATCCACACAACCATACTCGGCTGAACAGCAGGTTGAAATTGATAGGAGGCTGGCGGAGAAAAAGGAGGAGGAGGAGGAGGAGGAGAAAAAGAGATTGGAGGAGAAGCTCAAAACACTGGAGAAACACAAACAACAGGTTAGGTAGTCGAAGAAGAAGAAGAAGAAGACAACGACGAAGAAGAAGAAGACGACGACGATGACGACGACGACGACGACGACGACGAAGAAGAAGAAGAAGAAGAAGAAGAAGAAGAGAGACTGGAAGACCCCAGGCACATGGTTG